TAGACCTCAACACACACAAGGAAAAAAGTAAGGTCCTGAAATACAACACGGAACACTTGAACCCAATCACACTTGATGGAGAAGCTATGGTAGGGGTCAAGACTTTTGACTACCTGGGTAGCATCATCGATAAACAAGGAGGATCTGATGTAGATGTAAAAGCAAGGATTGGAAAAGAATTGTCAGCATCCCTACAACATATAGAACTCAAAACAACTGTCAGCCAACATCAAAATCTTCAGCACAAACGTCAAGACGTTACAGTACGGAGCTGAAACGTGGAGAAATTTTATGCGTAGGTTGGATATCATCAGCAACAGTCTACTGTGGGAGAGAATGAACCAGATACCATCTGAGAAGGAAATTAGGGAAAGACGTTGGAAGTGGATAGGATATACATTACAGAAATCACCAAACTGCATTACGAAGCAAGCGCTTACCTGGAATCCTGAAGGGAAAATGAAAAAAGGAAGTTCGAAAAACACACTGCGTTGGGAATTCGAGGCAGACATCAAAAGAATAAATAACAACTGGAAAAAATTGTCCAGGACAGAGTTCGATGAAGAATGCTGGTGGACAGCCTATGCTCTTCCACAAGGGGTAACAGGCGTAAGTTGGTACGATACAAAACTCGCTTATTTGACATAATATCGTTATGACACGCAGTATTTTTGTATCAACTTTTTTTGAGGTTATTCGTGACCACTGATTGTCGCATGTTTTTTTAGCGTTAGTTCGAATCTACTCTACGTCTGGAAACTGCACTGAAGTGACAGAATGTATATGTTGACTTGCATTCCATAACTCTATGTATAAAGAGTTGTGGAATCATCCAATTACCTAACAATTTCAAACCGAGGTATCAATGTGCTAATATTCGTTTCCAATTATTGATATTCGATAAACGGTGTTGTTTAGTCGTGTTTTATTTCATACAGTGACCTTTATCATTCTAAATGAATATGAACATAATTCACGAGTTGCATATTTACATTTATTGTCTACTTCGGTGGTGTGCATATGTACACTTTGATTGATGTCCAAAGTAAAGTGGCAATATATTCTTATTCAAACTATTTAGATATTTAAGTAAAACTGATGAAATAAATTATTTTTCTAATAGTAAAACAACATGTGACTTTCAATGCTTGTTTTTAGGATAATAATTTTCGTTCTTTATTGTAGGAGACCTACTCCTGGGGGGTGTTGTGCTGCAGCTGAACAAAGAGTCGAAGATTGTTATAAGCAGAATCCTGGAAAAATACTTTTGTGTTCCAAACTTGTTTCAGAGTATGATCGTTGTGTACAAAATTTCCTTGTCGTAAGTGATACGTACCTAAAAAACATTGTTAGTTCCAAGTTTTGTTGCTTTTAGGTATTAATATAATCTAACTTACAAAGGTTAGATATAAATCTGTGTGACGCCATTAAGATGTTTTTTGAAGTTTAATGAACTTGCGATATGGTATATGTGGCGGCCGTAGCCACTAATAACTAGAACCCTGATCTTTAGTCGTTCTGATGACGAATTTCAAATAAAATGAATTGTGAATCGCAAGATATTTTGATGGCTGCCGCCAAATAATTCCTAAAGGTAACTTAAAATTCCATCATTAAGGTTTTGCAGAACCTCAAATAACATCGTTTAACGGATTCAGTAAAATTATACATATTGATTACGAGATGTTAATTTAAATAGTATCTTAGGAATGTGCAAAAATGTTATGTAGTTGAATCACTACAGTCTGCCATAATGCAGGACAAAAAAACAAAAAGAAACGTAAAAAAAGTAGATTGGAAGTCAGGGGCGAATAAGCAAAAGTAACAAGATATATGAAATTCAGAGGAAAATAATGTCCATACGCATAATTTCGATAAATAGTTAGACATATTCCCCAGGTCTTTTAAATACTGACCTCTTTCGTTAAGATAACCCTACCGAATGTTAGCACTTTTCTATACGATTGGTATCACAACTTCTCTGTCAACCAGTATAAGTTTTCAGCTGAGTTGTACCACAGTTGGTGCAGGTTTTCTACTTTATAAACTTTTTATCTGGCGGCCTCATTTACTAGTTTCTCTAGATACGAGGAATAATTTGAAGACACCTGTCTTCTAGCTTTCTTTTTCATAATTGCCAACTTCAGTGACTACGTTTTATAGTTGTACAATAAGATAAAGTGGCTTGGACAAATACTTCTTTTACGGCTAAAAGCACTGCCGTGATTTACTCAATTGATATGCATCAAGTAGCAACTGCTAGTTTTTATTCTAAGTACAAACACAAAAAAAATACATGTTAGAGTGATGAATAGGACGAGACAGATTTAGGTATTAATAATATAATAAAGTTAACTTATCCACTACGTTCTTGGGTATGAGCAACACTTAGTATGAGTGCTGATGATACTACCCCGTTGTCTAAACCGAAATCGATGGAGCGGGGGTTCGAATTTGGAACTAAGTGACTATAAGTCAAATACCATAACCATCAAGCCACCTCTTCACTACTAAATAAGTAATGCCATGAAGCGATTTACCTACCTTTTTGTTCCTCATTTTCAAGTGTCAATTGTAATAACACATAAAGTGTAATTGTCTTTCTCTACTTGTTTTTAGACTATGTCTAGGAAAGTGTCAAATGCTGCCTGAAATTAACACAGTACCACTTTGTATTTTATGGATTGCTATTCTGGAAAATATTCTATAATGGTCTTACAAACATTGTAGCATACCATTTTCAATTAAATGATTAGTAGTTGTAATGATTATCCTTGTACAAATTAAATCATACTTTATTTGTAGTGTTATTTGACATTTGTTTCAATCGAATGTTTAGTATCTAAACACAAGCCAAAACGACCTGAATTTTCAGCTAAGCAAGAGAACGAGCAACTTTGTGGTTTATACTTATGTTAACAGTGATCACATTAGACTAAGATGTGGTCCTATTCATTTGTGATCATTTATCAAATATAAGATCTTGTATACATGTGTTGGTAACTGGCAGTTCATACAAAACTGATAAGGTATAGCACTTAATTTATGAATCTGTTTTTTTTATTTGATCAACTTCACTCGCTAGGTCGTTCTTAAAGTAGTTTAATCGTTACTTGAGTGAATATTTTGTACAGGTCTTTACCAGTTTGTACGTGATAACATTCCAATATTTTAATGACTTGATAGTTTTGAAATGAAAAGATATACATAGCTATCAGTCTTTGTCATAACATTGGTTGAGGATTTCGTTTATATTTCCAAATTATGCGAATAACACAAATACAACCGTCATGCTATCAGTTTGCCGTAATTAAATTTCTGTCTGTCGAACAATAAATGGTTTGTAGACGTTAATAAACGTTCCTCATAACAAGGTTTTTCACTTTGACTTTTAAGATTTATGTATTAACACTACTCAGTCAGTGAGCAGATAAAGCTGTACAAAGTATGTAAATTCCTGTTTCTATATCACAGCTTAGTACGCATGAATGGTTTGTTAGCCTTTATATCAGTAACAATACAGGAAAGCAAAAAGGGAATTAAGTGATATCTATAACAGTGATAAAAGTATAATGAAGTGGAAGATACGGAAATTGAATTATAAAATAGGCTTTCAAATCCACCAAGCATTCATATGTTCATGATCATATCACAAACAATAGCAACTTGATTATTGAGTCATATATATCAACTTGAACAAGTAATTTAATACTGGGAAATAGTTTATGTATGGTATTTTATTATCTGTTAATAATCAGTTTGCTTATGAAATTGTTTCCTACTTTTAAAGAAAATAAAACTCAAAATTACGTATTTAGACTAACATTTAAATGCATATATGGTATAGCATAAAATCCCTTACAAAAATCATTGACTGAAGTTACGACGATTTTGACTGGTTTAGAAAGCTTAAAACTAATAAATCCAGGAAAAAGTTGATAGTAGAAACTAAAGCACGTGAATAACTGTGAGGTAATATATCTGTTAGCAATAATCATTCTAGCTAAATTACCTAGACACTTCAATAATGAATTTCTACTCGCCCAGACACAGAATTACAAAGTTTTAACACTTTAGAAATGACATTTAGTAAATTCATGTTTCAACGATATTTTGTTTATACTTCCTCAAACTAAACATGATTTCAATTATATGTTCAGTGATGAGCGAAAATAGTCTTCAGATTGGTTCTATTTCCATTTAGACTCGGCGTACAGAAAAGGCAATATATGGACAGGTTGTGGTAGCAAAGCATTAAGCCTGATAGTTAGGTCGTATAAGCACATTAACTGGTGATTAACCTGTGAAACCAGTATCTTACCTTTGATTATACTTCAGAAGACATTTATTCATGTTTACTTTTGTAGTGATATTTTGTGTGGTGGTATATTGTCCTACTATTTGTACAGTCATTTGGAAGAGATAATAATTTGATCTCTTCAACAGTTAACAGCTGATTGCGCTGAAACATTGTACAATCTATTGCTATATGTGCTACGGATTGCGGACTGACTGCACAACTACTTTAGTTCTGGACATATGTTTCGTCCTAGTAGGAAACGTTCTAGCATGACGTAATCACGGTTTCTTCAAAGGCCGAACCCATAGTCTTTAGGTTTTGTGACAAACATTTTACTTTCAAATTACAAAGCTGATATCCAACTATTTCAATTTCCAAACTTGAGTCAACAGGATATTGAGCGATAGTCAATTAGTACGATCGGTGATATTTGTTTTATCCTCCAACATTGTTGAATTTCACTTATAGGTTTTCACTAGGACTTCAGAAATCCTTCTGAGAGTTAGTCACCGGTTAGCACAACCATTTTTGAAATGCGAGGTCGTGATGATTGTTCAAATTGAAAATAGATAATATTGTACGTTGATTTTTACTAGTTTTTTTTCAGCTAAAAGTAGTCTATGTTATATACTCATCACTTAGAAATATCAGTGAGAAGTTCAGTAACTACCCACCCTTAAAGGAATAAAAAAAGAAAATATTCTCCACATTCAACATTTATTGGTTATATTGTATTTAAGTTACTTTCTATTAATTAAAGAGGAAAAAAGCAACAAGAAACAGCCATGTGCGGTTAATTAATCTAAATATGGGGATATTAATGTGAATTTCAATCATTACATGTTTATTCCAAATAAAAATAGAATAAGCCAATTCATTTGTCTAAATGAGAAAAAAATTATTAAAAAACTACTAAGAAAAACTTCGAGTGATGTTTCTATGTAAAGGAAATACAATGGACTCTTTTTATCGGAAAACAAAGAAAGAGAGGGAGTATTTGAATTCTATTGCTCATTGTGATGTTTTGTAATATTCACAAAGATCGAATTAGAATGTTGCATATTTAAATAAGTCGTCAATAATTTGTCGTGATTTATGCTCATTGCTATCAGTAGTATATATATATATATGTTAATATTGCTTATGTACAAAAGAATAAAGAAGTAGATAAGTGTTAAATTAATCAACAAGCGATAGTGATACATCATTATTATCACTAAGATTTTGTAAAAATATCACAGCGGTACTAATTATATGAGTAGTGTAAGACAACATAGATCAAGATAAATATATTACTTAACATTTGCGATATTTTCCATCTTCACTTGTCTTTTTGGCTATTTGTTCAGCAAGCCTAAATTTGTGTGCGAGTGAAACGTTTTTGACGACAATCAGAACTAACAAATAATATTCAGAGATCATATGTATTCCATTTGTCTTTGTTGTTCTATGTAAAGTACTAATCAACGTAGTTCTACTGAACGTGATTCCATGGAAGCAATTGGTGCAAAATTAGCCGTTGGTACATTCATTGATTTTGTTCTGTATAAATTATTACGTGGAAGTCGATAATCAGATATAGTATGAGCACGATGTAATGTTAAATTTGGCACTGTAGTTGATTTACTTCTTCTTGGTGGGGAAGTCTGATTTGATGTTCATAATAATAAATGGATAAATAACATAAAAATCATCATTTAAGTCAATGTTTTCATTGCTGAATCAAATAAGTTTATCTACCATAAAATTACAATTATTCCAAACACTTACACTTATTTGGATGTAAAATAATCTTAAATTCCGTCACAAAATGATACTAACTGAAGGTAGATTGGAAACTAAAGAACACATGTTTCATCTCAGTTTGGAATCCATTTCCCTTTTATGTCCACACTCCTCTCAGGAAACGATCTCTACGGACCTAATTTCATGAAGTATAAAGTGATCAAGTTATCTATAATGACACTTGCTACAACATATTGACATTCAATCAGTCCAGAAACAGTGAGACTTTATAACAATATAGGAATATATTATATCTTACATCAATCAGTTAATGGAAATGAATGTTAGCAAGTCTAGATAATTAGTAGTGTTAACGGGAAACAAAGTTTGTTCAAAGAATTGAATCGATTATTAGATCTATCTATATGGAATAATAACAAATGTTATCAGGTTCATTTTATCACAAAATCACTAGTTCATCTTAACTTGTGTAATTGGAAATTTTTTTAAAGTAACTATGTTGACACTGCTACTAGCTAATCAACACTAAATATAATGCCAAATTATCTTGGATTTTCTTTTATCAAATATTAGACATGAAAAAGCTTGATAAGTGACTGTTAGCTAGCGCATCCAGGTTGGTTACTCTACGTAGTGTACTGTGATAAATTAATTACACCTTAGCTTGTAATGCTCAATCATAAACAATTGAGTTCAATGAATATAGTTCAGAATGGTGATGAAGTAGACACTTCTCAATATTAGGCGATTGGAGGTAGCCCACAGTAAACTCTGAACATAATTTTCGTGTATTCGACATCAATATGCACCCGCAATCTTGCGGGAACAGATGCTCCGAGTGAAATTCAAACCCAAGTCTTTCAGCTTCACAATCTGAGGTTACCACTGAACCATTGTGGTGATGACTGACTGAATTTCCATTTACGGATATAAGACTAAGCACAATGATATATCATTTTACAACAACACAGTATTATGAATCAATGATAAAAATAATCTAGTTTTTTTTACCAACAGTTATTTCCCCTTGTATTGAATCATAACATATAAATAACATTTCACTGTCGAAATCAATGGCTGTTTGGCTTGAATATTTTAGTGGAATATGCAACTACACCTAGAGTAAGAAGCATCTCATACGAACAGATTCAAACTTCTTAAATATATTTGGTAATTACGAGTATTAATCAAATACAATCACTGAAATGTTAGTCGACAGTTCATGTAAATTTCGAATATGCCAAATACTTAGAATTCTCAAGCTTATATATAAACATCATATCATTTAAGGAGTTATCGGTAGACTGAAAGATTGATAGTATAGAAATAACAAAACTCAGCTAAATATGCATATAGTAAACTAGTTGTCTTGATTTTTTCTTTCCAACTTACTGTCCCATATTTTAATCGAACAAGTAGTCTATGTTCACCACTACTGCTATTATTACTATTAGTATTTTGAACATTTAAAGACAACTCGTTAGCTGATAATAATTCTGAAATAGAATTTTTCATTGGTACATTTAATGGATTCGTTTTTGTTTCTACGATAGAATAATACGATCCAGATCGACTGTGAGTATCTGAAATTGATTGCGATAGTGTGGAACAATTTGATTTTTGACATTCAAGTGGTAGACCATCTATAATTTGTGATATCGACTGATGGGATGTTTGTTGTTTGTATGTGTCTGTTTGTCCAGATTGTATACTCTTATCGCTTTGTGTGAGTTTTAATGGAAGAGTCATTTTTATTGGATTTATTTGTAAGTTTTTATCATTTAAACTTTGAAATCGTTTAGCTCTGCGTTCACCTATTTGAAAGATAAAAACAAAGAACTATGATGTGTAATTTCCAGTTTTAAACGAATCGTTTCATAAACATTGAGCACCCAGTATACACATAAAATATCAGATATAAATTCAATCCGCAAAACCATTAGTGATAGTAAGAGTGAAGGCAGTAGACAGTGGTTGTTAATCATTCGGTTACCTTATAAAATCTCATTACATCTAATTTAGTTTAAGCAGTTGGGTAGTATCACTATCCTCCATCCTGGTGTATGATTTCGAATCAACAAAACGAATATTCACATGGTAAATAAGTCACATTGGTGACTGGATTTAAATCCTGCCGAATTATCATCCGGTAAAATGACTCCAGGTTCTTTGAGGTAATAATGGAAATTATCAAAGATAAATAGGGCCAAAACAATTCTCAACGAAATAATTGATCAATCGTGTACAAGCATTGATTGTATTCAGAGTGGAATTCATTCAAATGGCGATATGTGACATATATATATATATATATATACAAATTCTTAAGTCTAGTGTCTCATTTCTTCTTTTTTTTTCTAACTAAATTGTACGATGGGTTTAAATGACGTGCAAACTTGACATGACTGTCATTTTACACCAACTAATCAAAGATAAACACATTACTGCAGTGTAAATTTCTGTTAAGTCATTCGAAATTCCACGTAACTCTTACAAACGTTTCATAAAAGATAAATATAATGAATGATAAACATTTTAGAGCAATTTCTCATACAATGAAAAACTTGAGTAAATTAAACGAGTGTTACATATACAGATTTTGAGATAACTTCAGCTGTTTCATCCTAATCTAAGCTCTTAAACATTGAGTAATTGTGTAAAGTTGTAGTTATGACTGTCAGATCTGATAGTGAATACTTGGTCTCATTTACTTGTGATTTTAATTCATGGTTGTCTGCCTATTTTATTTAATGTCTCTGAAGAGTTTACTCACTTTTACTATTAACTTTATTCAATTGACTCGATAAATCAAGACTTTTCAAAAGTCATCCATTAGTTAATTACTTATGAGTGCGCCATTATTAATTATTCAAGGGAAGATCAAAAGTCCCTACTTTGTCACCGTTGTGGAGCTGAGTACGCATTATTAGAAGAACAGCAAACCAGAATGACATAGATATTCGGCATTCATTGATTTCTAGTGTTTCTGCATCTACTGGTGTTCATTAACTTTAAATTACATGAAACCGCCGCAGATATATGTAAATCAGCCAAAATATAAGGAAAAATACAAACAAAGCATTATATATCTATAAAATAGTAATTTAACACATACATAGAGATAGTTTACTGTCTGTTGTTTTATATTTTGTCATCAATAAGTTAGGATTGGATTCAGATGAAATAGATTTTAAAGAATAGGAGTTCGATGATAATGGTGATTGAACTTTCAGTGATAATTTCCTAGGTGGCAATGGTGGCGGAACGTTAGCATCAGGAGGACGTGGTACAATTATTCCATTACTATTACCAGTGAGTTGATGACGACTACGTTGACCAGATGGATTGGTAGTTATAGGTATTTTCAATGGTCGGCATAAAGATGTCCCATTTTTTGGTCTATCCAAGTTCATGTTACTATTATGCGAATAACCATTCATTGATTTGTTTGAACATATGTCTAAATGTAGAAGAGATGTAGTTGAACGTCTAAGCTAAACAGAAAGAAAGTATTATATTAGAAGAAAAAGATAATACATTTATTATTTGGACGATAATCATCATTACTATGAAAAGTATTTAAAGATGGTTTAAAAAATGTGGGTAAATATCATTTTAATCATACAGGTTATCAATATAAAATTCATATTAGTTTTAAAGAGCATTGAGGTGGTTGGTTGTGTGAGATGTTGAATAACAATTAATTCACATCAGTTGGAAGACTAGAAACTAATGACTGGCAGAGATGTTTCGTTCAAGTTGGTGACTATTTAACAGTGTACACTTATGAAACCCTATAATAATGTACTCACAATTGACTAGTTTCAGAATGGATTTCATGAAATTTTTAATTGAAACTTTTTATGTTATAGAGTTAATAAAATAAAATTTGATGAATTGAGGAGAGGTATTGAAAGAGAATGTACATGTGTTGATATAGTTAGCTAATGTAAGCAAATAACGCATGTTTAACTAATCAATCATTATGCAATATATTGAGTTATTTATTCATAGAAATCAGCGAAACATACTTTCGGACAGGGAAATATTATTTTTTTTTTTAGATAGAACATGCGTAAAGTTTCCATTTAAATTACATAAAAAGATACAAAGGATGAAATTCTTCTCTCAGAAGAACTCGTATCTAGTAAAGTCAGTCATTACTTTTTACTAAAACATTATGATTAAAGATAATATATACCAATTAAACAATAAAACTTGATTCATGCTTAAGTAAATACACACGCGATTGATAAGAATGGATAAATGCGGTCAATCAGAGTAAAATTAGTATAAGAATTTTATTGAGATAAGTCACAGTGAAGTGAAATAAAAACGATATAAATGAACGTTTTACAGTTAATCATTATATAACTGTTTATGTAGAGTTGAATGCACTACATAAATTCATATATTTGTATTATTTATTTACTGAAGTGTTAGAAAATAAGCAAACATAACTACTTTATTGTACAAAAATCGAGAGAAGTGAAGAGAAACAATAGACGGCTACGAGATTAATGACAGCTTTTAAAAATAGATGAGACAATTTGATTCCTGTAAAGAAATATTTTGAAGTAAGAGTATAATTCTAATAGTTACGTAACTTGTATTAAATTCAAACATACGTATTTCCGACATCCAGTGACTTAATGTCAATCACTTCTTCAGAGTGAATGAATAACCAGAATAAAATTAACGTAATTTTAAAAAGGACAAAAGGAATCTGAAGAAGTAACTCACATGAAGTCACAAAACATCTAAAATACAATTTGCTACTAATTGGGACACCATAAAAATATATTTATTAAAATCTCACATAGAATTTATTGCCAATCGATCGAAAAAAATTTCGTAAAATTTGTTTCTTGGGGAAACCGCTAGCAAAATCGTAGTATACATCAATCAACAACGTACATTTCCATCTCTGTAATTGCACCTCCAATAATTAGTTTTGACAGTTAGTATGGAATAGACTTTGTGAAATAATTTTGAACTACTAATGAGTAGGTATACATATTTTATCTAATATTTTTTACTACCCAATGAGCCTTCACATCAAATGTTCATGACAATATGATAAATAGTAGAAGAAGAACGCTAAGTATTAAAAAGAACTACACACTGAAAAAGCCAGATATTTCAGACCAAAAATATTGTGACGCATAAACAGTTGGCATACAACAAGTGTATTAAACACCGAGAACAATTTAATTTCTGAAGAAGTGGCTTACAACGAGTCACGAAACGCCAGAAAATCTAATTTTTCTACTCATCGGGATATTACAAATATATTATTTTCATTTATATATGGACAGCTTTGTTTTCACAACTAAATTTATCTTGATTGTAAATGATATAAATTTTTTTTTTATTGATATGTCTCTTTCGTGTTTATTATTGTTGATCCTTTCAAAAATAATTCAACTATGACACTGTCTTTATTATCGGTTAAGTTACCATTAGTTACAAAATATTTGGATTGAAAATAGTGGTGAATTTGTCAGGCTATTCTTTCTCTCATTTTTCGTACTTCATTCTTTTCTTGAGGAATTTCAATAAAGTAAGAATAATAACCATTGTAGTATAATGTCATTTAAATTCCCATTCATTCTGTGGAATGTCTTCAAATATATATTTACAATCGACTATAATAACAGTAATTACATGATAAAGTGTGAGTGTGTTGGGTGAATGCTTACGATTTGATATCATGTTTCGTGGGAAGTATGGATCAAGGTTCGAGACGACATTTGGAAAAGAGTAGATATATCAAAGAAGATAAATATGTGGAAACCTTAAGAAAGGTTCATATAGTTAATTATTTATGCCATAGGAATATTGAACAAGAGAAAATCGTAAAATGCATGGAGTAGAGATTATTAACAATTGAAAATAGATGTCCACGTATAAAAACGATTGATTAATATAGAGCAGACAATGGGTAAGGGAGAAAGACTTCCAATAAAAAAACTGTTATTTCATATCATCGATTGATAATGATTTTTCATTTTTCGATCGGGGAAAATTGAAGAACACACGCGAAATAAAACGACTTCATATTATTCTGCTGTAATTTTTCCCTTAGTTTATTGAAAAAATATAGAAATGTTCAATCTATGGATTCAGTAAAAAGATGAAAAGGGATAAAAACTATTGTTAAGTAAAAATAACTAACTAGGTATTCAAAAAATGCTTTATTCAATAAACTTCTATACAGTACTAGACTTTGATAGCTGTTTTTAGTTGGACTGTCAATTATACGCGTTAGTCAAATTTTATAGATCAGGAAGTTTAGTATACGACCACAGTCGATCAAAACACTCACTAGTAATTCACTAGAATGTAGGCTTTTTCCAACTCTGGTTCTCAGCAATGCTTTAAAATCGCTTGTACATTTTAAGTGATATAGCTAGAAGTCAATTTGATCTTTAAACACTTTTTTCTCTTCTTCATTCGTAATTGTTGTCAACATATTTTTTGATGGTGAAGATTTTCATTAAATTTGCTGTACACTTTTTATGTAAAGTAATTTCAAAGTAAAACTTTGTCTTAGTCGATCTGTATAAAAATGGAGGAATGAAAAAAAATGACAAGTAAAAATGATTTACTAACCAAATCCAAAGATGGGGGATATGGACGTGGAGGTAATGGTGGAGGAGAAGATGCAGTAAAGCCATCAGTGGATGGGCATGTTTTGCGTCTAGCGTGCGTTAGTGAACATGTTTCATCGTATACTGATGAGATAACACCAGCATCTTTTTCGCTTTTGATTCGATGTAACTTTGTGAATGACTTTGTGGAATCATTTTTAGATGATAACACGGATTGTCTTGTTTCATTAACAAGAGTTTGTGATTTCATTTGATGTATACTTTTCAATTGTATAAGATCATTATTATGAATAAAACGAGGTGGAGGAGGTCGTGGTGGCGGTTCACGTTTTAATGATTTATTGGATTCCATATCAGATGGATTAAATCGATTTGCTGGACTACTGGATGATTTAAATGAAGAATCTGAAGAACTACAATAAAAATTTGAGAGAGGGAACTAGGTAACGGAATCGCACAAAACTAATGAACTGTTATTAGAAAGTTGTATATTTTATTTCTTATCATGTTGGTAAATGGGAAAAATCAATGGAACACTTTTATCGACCTTGATTAAGTGTACCATAATACGTACTTTTCAAGTAAATAAAGGAGGGGAAATACATACGTGAAGTAATTTGAATACTTTGAAACACTTTAAAATCGTTATTCTAAATAAGCAATCGCACAAGAAAATATACAACTCTGAGAAATGTTCAAGATCTTCAAGTGGTGTAACCGCTCACCGAGGTCCGACCTTCAATGATGTTGCAAAATCCTTTAAGATTTTGAAGCCACGCTTTAAACAATTAAGAGAAAACCTAAATAAATCAAGCAAATCCCATAACAAAAACAATCAAATCTGTTAGATTGTGGTAGTTTTGAGAAGTTTATTAGTTTACCATACCTTAGTATAGGTTTTATAACTTGAATACTAGGAAAATATCGCTACGAAATATCATCTACCAATGTGAATGAATTCCTTTCTGAGTCTTTTTTTCATGAAAGTAAATGTCTTAATAGAAAATATTTAGGTGCTTCCATGTTCTTCATCAACAATAGCTGAATGGTAACGCCTTGGAATGGGAGGCTGGTTGATACTAAATCGAGTCTACCAGAGAGCATGAGTTCCCTTAACGATACATGTACACCTTGCTGACGAGTGCTAAGCAGCGGAAAACTTAGGTCCAGTGCTTCCTGAATATTACTTTCAACCACCACCTTACATCTCGACACAGTGCACATGATTTCAAAACACTCAGACTAGTGCCCCCATTGTAACTTGATCAATAGAGGTCAATCAGAACTAAGAAGGAATTTATATACATTTTAGTAGTCAATACTCAGTGATCCATCAATTTTAAGTGAACTATCTTGCTTATCTGTCCTATGCTCCTTCACGATGTGTAACAAGTGTAAGTGAGTAAGTATCTTGCTTACCATTATCAACATCTGGAGGGAGATCATGATAATGAATCAGCTATTAATTAAGTGATAAGCACACAGAAACAGTCATAAAATATAGAATGGCTAGAAGTGACCGTTTCGTCGGAATTTCCCGTTCAAGGACGAGAAAAGGCAGAAGTACGGAATTTCAATCACAAATTGAATGAAATATGTAATTTTTCTCCTTTTCATACCTTTAAACAGTTATAATACCTTTCTAATAATGAAATTCATTTTTTAACAGTGTTTTCAAAACTGACGAGCTTATCGTGGCCAATGGAAAGCTTCCTGAAACACGAAAAACCTTAGCTAGTCAAGCAAACGGAATGAAGTTATGCTATTTTATGAGGAAAGATTCGGACTAGTTTTTACATGTAACCGCAGTAGATATACATACATCAAGATAAAAATAACTGGCTACGAAAGTCATTTGTAGCACAGCTAACTAAAAAACTGAGCTTGTCACTGATCGCCTTCAACAACGAATAGAAAATCTCATGTTCCAAGATGATGTACTTTCTGTGGGTCGATTAAGACTCAGAAATACAGAAAATCACCTCAACTTACACATCTCTGAATAAGTCATTAAAAAGAGCAGTTACATAAGTTAGATATTAACAATTAATAAAATAAACATAGGGCCAAACTGATCACCAGGTTGAATACTACTGCTTCTATGAAAAGATGAAGGAAAGAACCATTACCCCATTAACACTTGGCAATATATATAATATGACTTACCGGCTGTCACCAGTTTGTATTTCCAACCGATTATTTTGATAATCTGTAAAAAGTTGTTTCTTACTAAGAAGAGTTCCTGATGCAAAACTAGGCGTAGAATTAGCAAAACAAGAATTTGGACGATTTCGAGTGGGCGAATGATCTATATCTTGCATACGTGCCATTATTGGTGCATGCTTCGGATTTATATCCATTGAACCGAACTTATTACTCTTATACGAAATCAGTGATTGTTCAGCCTTTTTTTATTTAAGCAAAATAAAAGGAACAAAAGAGGCTTTAGGTAATTAAAAAGACTTTACAACATGTAAGTGTTAACAGAGAATGGAGCGAAAAGACAGATAATCCAATTGTATACCACAAAGCTAGTATAATCAATCACTACTCTAAAATTACTTCCTCTCGAATTATAATTAGCTACAGGCTTGTGATATCTCGTAGAGGTAGATTTCCTAAAACAGATCCGTGATTTTATATCAGTTCAAATATTTGAAAACAATTTTCATTCTAATAGAAACTCATCGACTATCTTCCCCTCTAGAAGATAAAAATGACATAGAAAAACCTAGATACCACTCAAACCAACAAAAATTTGATTCACTAATTCGACATTGAGGGGATTTTAGGTGAGCACCTTTAAGGAATCACGCACTAGGACGAAAAAGTTGTCCATTACTCTCCGGTTTTTAATTGTATTCCAACTGAGATCAATCTGTCAAGAAGGAAATCTGAAAATTTAAATATTTCTCAGAGGATTTAATCATAAAAGATTTAATAGTTCTGAGTACTAACATCCGTTAACATTACTCAAAAAGTATATATGCTTTAAGAACATGTATTTCCAACATTCTATTAGCAATAGCTAATTTGTGACAAATGAAATGATTAAAAATCTTCATTAGTGATAAAAAAGTATAATCTTATTACCGAAAACAGTTTTGTATCATCAACTTTTGGTTACACGTTTTTCGTGGGTAAACTAATGATATTACCCGTTTACCCGAACCCACATAGCGCAAAGTTCAAACTTATGATCAATTTATTGAATGCATAAGTCTCTTGACTACTAAGCTACCGCTTGATCTCATTAACACATGATCTGTGAAGTGATAACGGATAACCAATCACATGATAATAAGACAGTTTTGCGTGATATGTTGTGAATTGACTAAACTTAAAAAATCTATGACATTGTAGTATTTTATTAATCAATAAGATAATAGTACAGTTATCCATTAAATAATTTGGAATAGCAGTTAGTTATCAAAAGATTTTCTGCAATACAAAGTTCTTAGCTGTAATTCTTAAATGATACCATTTATTTATCTATTTTTGACTAACATTATTCGAATTACGCAAAATATTCTGTTCACTGCGGCTGAGAAACAACTATCTTCTATTACTACCTTTCGGGGTTAAAGTTAGTTTGTGATAAGGGTTAAAGTATTGTTTGACAAATATTAACAGTACTGAAAGTAGAGTAAATGGAATATTACAACTTTCTTGTTGATCAAATGTTGTTATTATTTTATCTAGAGAGTCAAGTAGATATTCAACTTTTAAGCGTAACTTGTTATTAGATGGATAGAGCTATCAAACTGTAGTTTAAGTAGTACAGAATGGCAGGCTCAAATTTAACTGTTTAAAAACTAATTAAACCATCGAGTTATTGTTCAACACTATCAAAATGACAGAAACATATTACACTCTAAGAATAACAACGTAGAAACTAAAGTGATTAAGATATCAAAAATAATCATGCCTTTCGTGATAAAATATTCCAGGTAAAAGAACTTTCAGATTTAACACGTTTCGTTGACTCTGGCAATCCCTTTTGACAAATACGACCAGGATTTTTCAATTTTTTAGCTCGTAACCACTCTGGACTACCAAAATTATATTTTTTATGTCCAAGTTTTAAATCATATTTAGTAGAATTTGATGCAATATTTGATAAGGAACTTGTAAATATTGGACCAAATGAAACGGTGGCTTTGTAGTGATATGTGTTTTTAGCTTGACCACGTAATTGAGAGGCACGATCTTCGAATAAATCAATTTTTTGATCAGGTGGTCGTCTGGAACGTTGATCTAAAAACTAATTATAGATTGAAAATAAAAATAGGACAGCGAGGTTCTGTAAGATTCTGTTATTACAGTTAAGATCAATAAACACATGATTTGGTCAATTTAAAGATTACAAGATTGACGTTAGTTGAAGAATAATTGTTAAATCAAATAAATAGGCAGCATACAGCCAATTAAGCCTAGTTTGTAATTTCTTGACGGTTCACATCAATAACGTCCTTCGTAATGAAAGCGTATGATGCCATAAAGAACACTTTTAAGAGTCAAATTTGAAATAGGAATTGGAAATATTTTCTAACTAGGCCAGTTGTAACATATCTTAGTGGTGATTCAATAGCAGCTTCCAACTGTTCAAAACTGATTAAGTCGTGGGAGTACAATTTAGAATAGATTGTAGTAAAAATGTGTTTACATCCCTTACACGGTTGAATGCAAGCAAAAAAACTAACCCGTTTACCATAACAAGAGTTGTTTAGATATATATTTCATTTGATGCTTTAGTAATTTATCAATCTTATATTCGTTTCATCAGCTAACTTTTTGTTCTCATTGTCAGTGAAAGCACAAATGATATCTTGAATAAGAGTCCAGGTATCACACACATACACAAACATAGTCAAAACTATGAAATACGATTAGAAAATGACAAAAAAATCTCAATATTAATTATTGGACATTCCAAAATATACAACATTAAAAGTTTAATGTTTTTCGACAAATATTCCACAATGAGAAAAAGTAATAAGATTGGATACAATAATTTGTTAAAACAATTTTAATCATTGAATAATGGCTGGTTACTAACAACTTCGAAGTAAAACATTTGATATAATACTTAGCAACGTGATCTTTAATTCTCAATTAAAAAAACGTATTTATAAGTAGCATATGATAGGTAATTTTATTTATAATGATTATTTTCCTAACCAGTTTTCATAATCATTATCAATAACAAACCACGTTCATTTTATGCTAACAAACCATATCAGTATTCTATTTACATTAATTTACAATAAATGTAATTTGTTTACTTAGATAGTGAATGACGGTATAATTTATAATGAATGTTTTGCTCAATTTGAGACTTGTCCGTTGGATGTGGCTCAATCTTAGTGTTAATATTTACACTGAAGCTGAGAAACCAGTACTTTAACAGAGCGAGCAATACAACCTTTTTACAAATGAGAGTAAATACATTTTTTGAAGGTGTCATTATTAGTTGATAGAATAACATCAAGTGTAACAATAGTAATAGCATTCAATTAGTATTGTTTGTTTGAATCTCCCCATTGATGTTTAGGACTGCAACTGGTCAGTCTCTAATTGGCATATGTGCATACTGTGCATATTGCCTCGATATTGCCATAATTCACAAGCATGGTAAGCGAAGATGGATAGTGGCTAGCAGTGGAATCCAGGACGCGCGCCACTTAGTCCTATTTGGGACTCGTCAGATGGATGTACCTGAGTTGATGTTCACTCAATATGCACATATGCTAATTAAAGACTGACCAGTTGCAGTCCTAAGAACATCAATGGGAAGATTCAAACAAACAATACCAAGTGAATTTAAACTTCACCCCATTGCACAAGCAAGTGGCCATCAGGACTCAATAGCTGAGTGGATAACGCGATAGCGTTAGAAGCGAAAGGTACTGGGTTCGAGTCCCATAGTGAACATCAACCCTGAGATGCAGGTTCATACAGGTGACGAGTCCCAAATAGGACGAAATGCGCGTCCTCGATTCCACAACTAGCCAATACCCATCTTTGCTCACAATAGTAATAGCATGCTTATTTAATTGAATGTTGAAATTTTTATGAAAACGAATCTATTCACATTGTAAAAAATATATTTAATTAAATTTATTAATTTTTTAAATGTTAACATAATAAACTACTATTTATCCTTTGAAAACTGCTCTATTTAATTATTATTAAATGTAATGTGTTATTTACATTCATAATTATGAAATATAGGCAGTTTTGAAGTCGAACAACTCAGTGAATAATGTCGACGTCAAAGAAAAAGATTCATTGAAATGTAAAATTAAATAATAGATGTTTTCAATGAACTTGCATCAATTTGGTTAGATTGCTAAACTTCTATGTAATTCTTTACATAATAATGACTTCCTTTATCTTTGAGGTTTCATAATAGAAGGTCAATCCATAAGGTGTCTATAAATATTTTGACATACATCGTTAAACATAAGGATGTTAATAGTATCATTTACAGTGCTATGTAGTTAAGATCATCAACCAATAAATCATTCCAGTTTGTGATAAACTCTAATTCATGATAAATAATTTTAGAAATATCAACTAGCCTTTTTAAAAAGTAAGAATCTTTTATTTTGTGTTCAACATGGTGTTGTAAAATGTGTTTTATCATTCAGGTTTGAGATTTTTTTATCTATGGAAATTAGCCGACATAATTAAATACTATCATGTTTGATAGTTACTAAAAAGCCGTATTCATTGTTAATAAAATACATTGGAAAAACTGATCAAATTTAATTCATTACAATAAGCATCTTTATGATTCATTATGAAACAATCAAAAGGTCATTTTAAGAACAACAGTTAGCAATTATAAAAGATCAGTGGAATTCAAACTACGTCTGTCGTGAGATATCAACTCACTGAAAACAATTGGTGAACGGTTGCTCAACTTCGTGGATTGTTTGGAGTTAGACATAAACACCATCAGATGCCAGCTCAGTGGTCTATCGGTTAAGTGCTCTGGTGCGAGACTGGTAGGTCCTGGGTTCGAATCTCGCTCACGAAGCGAGGTCGTGGATGCGCATTGCTGAGGAGTCCCACAATAGGACGAAACGGCCGTCCAGTGTTTCCAGGTTTTCCCTGGTGGTCTAGCTTCAATTGACTCACGCTTCCAATTATGAAAATTATAAAAGAGCTTAGAATGAAGATGGACTAGAGTAATTTACCTTAGACATCTTACCAACAGAGCAAGAGAAGAAACCAGTTAAATAAGAAGTAAAAAGGAGTGAATAGTTTTAATTATAATAAAGAGCTTAAGAAAATATGAAAAACATGACTCAAATTGAGACATAGACTGCATTACTTAAAAAACAACAACACTTTAATCTGAATTCTAGAAGTCAACAAATAATGAATGTAATGGTCTCATTGTGACTGTGATTTCATATTAAGTCACCTGAATAAATGACGTAACGCTACTGTTATTGTCAGAGATCCTTTTATCTGAAATAACGGTAAATACTTTATTAACTACTAATTAATAACAAGATTTTTACAAGTATATACACAATAGTATCTGAAAATAACAACATAGTTCAATAAAATGTATTATTGCTTGCACTAAACAATTACTACTTGGAAGCTATGCACTATAATTTGTTGAAAGCATACAAATAAAAGTAACATCATCATTAATCACATGTGCATCATAATTCAATGTCGAAACCAATGAAATGAGCTGTCAGGATTTTTCTGAAAAAAATGACATCATTGGGACCGAAAAACGTAAGCTCTCTCGTTATATACGTGGGTAGATTTGTGTGTGAATACCAAATTATTCGCAATACCAAAAACTCTACATAATCACAGAAATTTTTAAATCTTCAAGTGGTTAACACACCTTAAAAGAAGTTGTGACATGACATTTATTAATTAAATAATCGGAACCTACTATTGAAAATTTATATGAATAATACGACTAGAAAGACTTACCAACTGAATTGTTTGTGATTCAAACATAGATTTTAGAAATGATTCTAAACCAGGACAAGATTGGCAAGCGATAAGAGCGTTTAAATCTACTTCAGGATTCGCATCTCGTCGAATTAAGCAATCTGTATAACAACCTGTTCGTAGATAGAGAAAGAACAAAACCGGTTGAAAATTTAATTTAAATTATTGTTATGTAGAAAATAAACAAGCAGAAATGAATTGATTATTAAGAATATAACAGAAATTCCCACTGTCTTAGCAACAGTAGATAGTAATAGTAATGTGCTGTATGCTGCTCATGTCAACAAACATAAGTAGTACTTAATACTAATCGGAAGTAGAAAACCTAACAACAGAAGGCTCAGAAGATCGAGCTGAAGGGAATAGAAAAAGGAAGAAATTGTGAATTGAAAGAACTAAACACAATGTGAAGGACAAATGATGAAAATCTTTAAATGAAATATTCAATGTATGGTTTCCACATTTTTTGAAAGAATTCTGTAATTTCGCACTAAACAATAATTTAGTTGTAACGACGTGTGTCCTCGTTCACTACACTAGTAGGAAATAGTCTTCCTAAAAAATAATATATCGCGAGGATGTGAAAATAGAATATAATTATTGATCGCCAAATTGATTTTGAAACAATTTCACACTTTAATCTATTTACTGATTAATTATTTACTTACGCCTGTTACCACTCATCGAGGAGTATAGGGTACGCACCAGCATTCTCCATCCAACTCTGCCCTGGACAACCTTTTCCAGTTGTGACTCATCCTTTTCATATCTGCTTTCAGTTCTCAACGCAGTGTGTTCTTCGACATTCCGCTTTTCATTTTCCCTTCAAAATTCCAAGTTAGCGCTTGCCTCGTGCTGCAGTTTGATGATTTCCTCAATGTGTGGCCTATCCACATTCAACGTCTTTTCCTAAATTCCTCAGCTGGTATCTGGTTTGTTTTCTTCCACAGAAGTCTGTTGCTGATGGTATAAATATTTATACGTTTTTGATGATTGTTGTAGTAGTTATTTAAGTTTCAGTTCCGAACTGATAGATAACATGAAAATGTCTTATCTAAAAGTATACAATTTCCATCACGCATTTGATTGCTATATCTTATTATTAGTTCAGAAAAACACCACAGAGGTACAGTTATTCTACATTACAAACTGAAGAGATTTTATTATGGGAAATATGTTTTTTCTCAGTGAAAAGTAGTTGCAAATGAGAATTTTCAATGACATACTTCACTAAGTAAGAATATGGATAGAAATTTATAGAAACTACATAATGAAATAGAAATAAGTTAAGTTTGTATTGTTATAGTACAGAAAAATTCAACTTATTTTGAGTAAAGTATCATATTAGACGCATATTTGTAAATTAGAAATACGTATGGCACATTAAGCACAATGAAAAAAATAAAACTGTGATTCTGACTAAAAAAAGGTTGAAGAGATCATCGACTTTAAGTGAGAACCAAAAAAACAAACATAGTAAGCTGAATAGACTATTTCTTAAATATACCTCTTGTCAGAAAATCTACATGTAACTTTGAAGTACTGCTCTAGTCAATATCTCTTAATAGAAACTATGATACTACAGAAAACATTTTAACAATCACAGTTTGTAATTAGTTTATAAAAAAAATCCTTTTTAGTGAATAAATATTTTTTGTATTTTTCTGCCAACAATCCTCTTAAGTCACAGCAAAATGGATGAATAGAATAGAAAAATATGCTGATTATTATTATTTAGTGTGTCACCAAGTTACATATTCATGATATCAATATGAAATTATCAAAATCACAATTTCGACAGCATCAAGAAGTGTTGGAGATGTATTCACCTTCTGTATTTCCATAGATTCTGATTTTCAAAACTATCTTATACTTTTTGTTATTCTACGAATTCTTCCTTTTTTCTTGAATAACGTCGTGAATACTTAATATTTTCTACTTCTATTACTACTGATATTGTTAGCACTTCTGTTTAAAAACTTGTCTCTACAATTTCATCTCACTGTGTTAACGCGGTATGACAACTAGAATTGAGGTAACTAACTATATGCTAGGTTCTACATTTATTTTGTCTAACTGGCTGATGTGGCTTAAACTAATGGAACTGAAAACTGATGACCGACAGAATCTGGCCCAATGGTGTGAACAATGAAGCTATAATGGCACAAACCCCAAATTTAATGAAGAGTTTACATTTGAATATAAAACAGAATAGCTTTCTCATAAAACGGCATAATTCAGTCACAAAATACCACATACAACTTGAACAAATCTTTTCAGAAACAACTACACAGTTGATGTTGAGTAGTGAAATTCAAGCATTTCGAAGTTGATATGTAAACAATCCATACATAAGACATTAGTAATAGACTGGTAAAACTATCAAAAAGGATGAACAAACTGTACATTTGTACCAAGGCAGAACATTAGTATTTACTTATCCGTGGTATAGCACGGTAAATATCTATCTATAAAATTATGAGTAAAGTGTTCTGGAGAGGTTCAAACTCATATACTTATAAGCATTCAGATTTACTATATTCCTTAACAGGTGTATTCTAACAAATCTTTCTTAGCGCTTACAAAATAAACGAAACGACTAGTACTCACTTACCTAAGAGATTAACAATCAATTCAAAAAATGGATGAGTTAATCTCTCGAAACATCTAAGTATTTCACCATTAACTTGTTTCCAGTCACCGTTTTTTAATTTTTTTGAATTCATCGTCACATTTAATTGTCGTTGATTTTCTTTTAATTGATGGTGTAAAAAACTAAACTAAAGGAAAAAAATCAAAATCAAAATGAGTACAATAACATACGATAAATGTTCTTCTATTTAATATCAGTTGTATAGTAGGATGAATCCTTTGTTATCATTTCGTGTGACCTTGTTGATGAGCACTATACAGTATGAAACCTAGGCTTATGTTACAAAGGAACATGACATTGATAAATTTTTAGAAACCAATGAATGTAAACGTAACGTTTCGTTGATTAGACGTATAACAAAAACTTTATAATAATGAGAATTAACCTCATGATTGAGTTATTGTTTGTTATACGGTTAGATCTTTTTTATTAACTTGAAACAGGAATAACGTTTGAAGAAGAACAATATGAATCTATTTAAATTTTGTCAGTTTGCATTATCTACTCACAAACTTTTTCGTAATTTAGGATGAAATTACATGAAAGAACCAATATTGGAAAATAAAACAATCCGAAGAGGCAGGGGTTATTAGCATTACATAGATGAATATGATGGACATGTAAGGTCATTTAAGCTTAGATTTAGGAAACATAAAGAGAATGAAACAGTAGTTATCTATAATTCAAAATTCGATATGAGAAGTTACGTAATAATTATTGAAGATTTGAGAATTTATTAAATAGTTTTAACATCCAATCACATAGTGAATGAAAAGGTATTTTTAAAGTAGGTTGAATAACAATTAATTATATGAGGCAGTAGCCATGAGGATGAAGAAACCGGAGCTATGAGTACAGAAGAAATATCTCCACCCCCTGCTTCTCCCTTGGCCAATTAATCAGTAGTAATAATAGTTATTGGATGATCTAATTTGATTACGTACTTACGACCTTTCGTAGTCAAATGTAATTGTCTCTCTTTATTCACACATCTTTGTATTATTATTATTATTATTATTATTATTATTATTATTTAGCACTTCGTCCAATAATCGAGAAATTTCATTTATATAAGAGATATATGGACGATACTTTCATTATTTGTGATGACGACATGGACCACAATGAAATATTAAATATTTTCAATAACTGTCACCCTTCAATTCAATTTACCTTAAAGGCAGAATAGAACCACGAATTCCATTTTCTTAATGTCCGTTTGAAAAGATTGCCTGATGGTTATTTACAAAGATCTATGTATAGAAAACCCACTTGGAATGGACAATACACGAATTTCCATAGTTGGGTTCCACTGAGTCGAAAGAGGAACTTAATTCACTCTTTACTATCTAGGATTAAGCGAATCTGTTCTAGTGACACAATAAATGAAGAATTACTTCATCTTCGACAGACCCTCATCAAAAGCGGTTATCCACCGAGGTTCGTCGACAGCAACTTAACATCTAGACGTCAGCAAGAAATAACTTTGATAGTGCAGAAGAAAACCTTGTTTATGAATATGGAATTCAAGGGAGACACGGCTGATGAAATCCTGAATAAACGGATTTCAAAAACGTTGAATAAAACTTTCTACACAGCCAAGCTCCGAATCGTTTTCTCTAGCCGGCCTACCATTCGGGGGTGTGTTAAGGATAAACTTTCGCTTTGGGCCACATCGATGTGTATTTATAAATTTACTTGCTCATGTGGAGCACGTTATATAGGCCGCACAAAGCGATCGCTTTCCAAACGTATCTCTGAACACTGTCCAGCTTGGCTCCTAAAAGGTGAATGTAAAAAGATAACCAGTTCGATACAAGAGCATTTGATCAATTGTGGACACATTGCTCCAAAAGACACGTCTTTTAAAATAATCTATAGAGTTAAAGGAACCGGGTCAAAGGGAGGTCGAATCAATATTGTATGCACTGCTGAGGCATTGGCAATCCATGAATTCAAGCCTGAACTTTGCGTGCAGAAACGATTTGTCCAACCTCTTACCCTTCCTTGACCCTAATTCCCTCATTGGGTACGTTTTTTGGTTTTTTTTTGTTTTTTATGTACTTTTATCTGATTATTATCGGTTTTTTGTTTTTTAAATTACTATTTTACATTTAAACTCTAATCAGTTATTATTATTACCTTATACAAGTTTTCTTGATTATTACTCAGATTATTATCATTATTATGAACTTAGTGTTTGTCGCTGTTCTTCATATCTGTCAACTGAATATCTGTCAACATCTGACCCATAAATTATTTTCTTCCTTACCCTTGATTAGTACGTCACCTCATTTGTTATTAATTGTCGAATCCATTTACAACGCAATCTTTTCTAGCCTCCTATAGACATATATTTTCCATATCACTATATATACGAATGTACAGCTTAAGTAAATGATTTCGTCGAAAAGAAAATTTTCTTCGCTGAATTCTCTTTTTATTATTATTATTATTATCATTATTACTATTGGTTAAACATCATTACTAATCTCCCCTATACATGATTCATTCACTTCGCATTGATCCCTCCTTATTATGTCTTAATAATTTTTCACACAATTTAGTCTTCCACTCGATCGAATTGTAATTGCACCATCATATATCTCTCACCCTATCTGACCCATATTTATTCTGATCACAGATCTTAAATTTCCACTTAACATATATACAGATTCAAGTTAACATTCTATATGAGTCATATCAACATTAACAATTTTATTCTATTTGGTTTGACAATCCTAAATTTACATGTATTAAACGGTGTACTTTGACTTTAACTTGGCCATTTTTTCGGATTATTAATTTGGTTATACAATTGTAGAACTTGAAGAGAATTTATCGAAAAGAATATTGTTCGTTCAAATATTAGTCTTTTAATATAATGGGGAACTTTAAACGATTATATGAAGATTGTATATTCTGGTAAAAACTGCCGAAATAATCAAAATTATTTGATTATTAATTTTTGTTAAAAAGGGAGCTTCGAAAACTCACTAAGAAACTTTAACTCAAATCCACTTATAGATTTTAGAAAAAATAGAAAATCTCAGTCAGACATGTGATAAGAAGTTAAATAGAAAGAAGTAATATCTAAATAGGAATTTCTCCCTTAGCTAAAATTCTTTCAAATTGAATATTTTAAAATAAGTGGATATCGTCAAAAATATGACCGTTGGCGGTAATTCACATCGATTATTTACTATACATATGATCTTATATTACGAATAAGACTATGGGTAGCTGATAAAAACGAATGAAATCATAGTGGGCTTGTATTACTGTGATTCAATTGTTATTACTGCTTCATTAGGAATTAATGTTTTGTTCGAAATTTGGGTCTAATGAAATCAATTGGATTTTACTGAAGTAGATAAAAGGCAATTCATTGAAGAAAATTTTCTTTCCGACAACTTCCAGAAACATTTCTTCGCTGAATTGACTTCTTTCTACTTCAATAACACAATGGATCTCTTTCGTCATTTAAATTGAATTTTATACTATAGGTCACTTATGTAATTTATTCAGTTAAAGTCTACTCAAAATTTGACTAGTAATTAGTGTACAATAAATTTATAAAATCAGTGTACTGAGACTGTTTTTGATCTATTTCTGGTGTTAAATAAATGTAGACGCGATCCCTCTTTTTTGCCTTTTTTTTGTTAAGTCATATATGTTCATCTATGGTTTCTGAATAAAAAATATTGAATAATAACTGGTTACAGCGAATACACTAACTAATCAATCAGTATATGTTTATGTTAAAGATTCGTTATTACGTAATTAGCTTCTGGTTATCAAAAAATAGTAAGCATTATTTTGCCAAATATTGCATTGTAATGTCATGTAGTGATCGAGAAAAGTATAAAAATATTACGAGTATGTTTTATATTACTACACTTTTGTAGATACTATTCTGTTAATGAGTCCCATTAATAATAAATGCGTATTTTTGTAACTGATTAATATCACATTTTCTGACAGACACATATTATAGTCAGGAGGAAAAACTGGACCATAAAAACTCACAACATTTAATTAAGTGAAATGTTTACAACCTAAATATTGTTACCGTTTTATTGTTGTAAATAACATTAACTACAGACATATGAATCGAATCTAAGCATGAATATCAAGCTTTACGATAAACATATTAAAAAAGAATGATTAGTCTATAATGTACTGAATAATACGTTACTCAAATATACTTAGCATGAAATGTCCCGCCTTTAAAGTCAATAATGAAAATCTAACATACGTTTTTTAAATCGCTGAATTCAATCAGAGTAATTTACTAACAGGGATTCAGTGATCACCTTTGTTTTGAGGATATAAGATCTTTAATCAAAACAGTTTATGATGGTAATTCTATAAATTGAATAAAAAACAATCCGAATTCTCAAGGAATATTTTCACTTTCTTTTAAGAAGCGAAGATGGATGAATAATTGCTGAGATGGTTTGGTAGCAAGTCAGGAATTCTTGACAAAAGTTTTCATCCAAGTTGAGTATTCTTTGACAGTATGTGTACACATGGTTCTTGCATTGGACTGCATCTTAGAACTTCGAGTTTCATAGAGGAAAACACACAATTGAGTTACTGAATTACAAATCCAGTGCTTAACATGTTCTACTACGGTGATTTCGTAATATCGTGTGGTACTTAATTATTTTTTTTTTTTTTGAGTTATTTTATAATTCCTAACTCGATAGATTCTGCTGTTTGGAAGAAATTATGTTACCCTTTGTCAAACATATTCAAATTCTTTTTCTCTGATAAAAAGCCATATTTCCAATAAACATTATACAAAATCATTTGATTGAACAGTTACTCACTATTGCTTTTGGTGTACCCAACTCCATATCCATATGTTCAGTATGTAAATCATTTGTAGTTGGTTTATGTACATAAATTTGACCCAAGTCCAAATCCACTAAACGTGTTCCAGCGCATAAATGCTCTTTCGCTTTCTAATAATTATGATGATAATTTTGATTCATAATTTTTTAATTATATATAAGAGAAAGAAGTCGAAAAGAAAATAATATTCAAAGGATGAGTATTCAACATAATCAACACTATTATAACAGAGAGAAAACTAAGACAATGGAAAATTAAAATCTGAGAAACTTTATTATGTAGTTGAAGAAAGTGGTGATGATGATCGAGGAAATAAACAAAAGAAAAACTTACCTCTAAGTTACAAGAATGTATACCAGCCACAAATGGAACTGGACATCTAAACAGTAAGGCTATGGATAGTAACCGATTAAAATGCACTCAACTTACTCCAAAACACCGAGTACTTTATCTGGAATTAGTGGATAAAATGAATGAACCCTAAAAGGTAAAATAAAAAGAAAGTTTGAAAATTTCAATGCCTAAAGAAAAATTGGTTGTGTTTGAACATAATATTTAATTAGGTAGATTGTGAAAAATATTCATTTAGCTGACATCAGTTCATAATAAAAAACAACGTTATCTTAGTGGTATTTCCATATTTTCAAATGCTTTTCAATCTTAACTACATAGGTCGTTGAGACAAACAACTAAGGCATACTCACAATAATTATCTAAAACTAATTTTAATCGTTTAAAAATCCCAATCATATTAAAAGACTAATATTTGAACGAACAATATTCTTTTCGATAAATTCTCTTCAGGTTCTACAATTATATATCTAAATTAATAATCCGAAAAATTGGCCAGGTTAAAGGCAAAGTACATAGTTTAATGCATGTAAATTTAGGATTGTCAAATCAAATAGTTAATGTTGATACGACTCATATAGAATGTTAACTTGAATCTGTATATTTTTCGGATTATTAATTTGGATATATAATTGTAGAACCTGAAGAGAATTTATCGAAAAGAATATTCTTCGTTCAAATATTAGTCTTTTAAAACTAATTTCCCAAATGTATACAGAAACGCAAATAAGTAACTAGACAATCTGATGTGAATGTATATATACTTATTCATCTACTCTTATGCAGTTAGAGTTTATAGAACATAAATGAACGACTATGTTCCGATGCATTAGAGAGTACTTAATAGTAAAGAACAGTGTAACATACAGTGGATTATAATCACTCAACATCAGACACATTTGATATTTCACCTTTGAGATTAAATCCATTTTTTAGTCTGGTTTTGTAGAGCAAAAGTAATCAGTACACATAACATGAAACAAGATCTATCCGTACAGATACAGTTTATTTGACTATATTAACTGAGATCGCATTTGTTCTCTTTCAGCCTTTGTAATTTATATTCTCGTTTCTACTCTTATCTCCTTTTCTCAATAATCCATTAAATTTAACTATTCCAGTCATTCTTTAATCATCTTTAATTCAAACTTACATTTATTTATAATAACTTTGATCTACATATTTTGTAAAATAAATCACACCATTATACCTTTTGCTATGCTATCGTATCATTTTTGACTTACGATATAACATTATCTCCAAGTGCTTCTTTCATATTTTCTAGTCAAACTAATCCATCATTTAATTTTATCCACAAAAACCTTGGACTAAATTCCATCGACTACGTGTATGATCAGAATTAACCAGACTTGTTACCATATTAATTATTTTAATGAGAAAAAAGAAATACAATTACACAACTGGTTGAAAAACAACAACAACAGCACATACATAAACTAAATACGAACACAAAGGAAGAAAAAATTTGTTTTCATTGAAATATTTGATTTTTTTAAATTGAATCAATTTGAAATGACCGCACTTTGAAAATAAAAACGATTCAATCAAACAAAAACACGAGAATAAAATAGTGAAATAGAATAAAAACAGATTTCTACGTAAGACACATTTTAAGTAGTAAAAAAGGTAACAATACACATTAAGAAAAATCAAGAAGGGGTTTTGTGGAGATTTAGTATTTTCATAGTTGAAGACAATTGGTGAACGATTGCTCAACTTCGTGGATTGGTTGGAGTTAGACATAAACATCATCAGATGCCAGCTCAGTGGTCTATCGGTTAAGTGCTCTGGTGCGAGACTGGTAGGTTCCGGGTTCGAATCTCGCTCGCGAAGCGAGCGCACTGCTGAGGAGTCCCACAATAGGACGAAACGGCCGTTCAGTGTTTTCAGGTTTTCCCTGGTGGTCTAGCTTCAATTGACTCACGCTTTTGACTAGGAAAACCAAATTTTTTGAGGCTTTAGAAGAAAACTATCAAAAAAACTGAATCTCTCTATTTAAATAAAATTTAAGAAAGTATTTCACAGATCAAGTATTTATTTCAAGATAAGTTTAAACCTACAATAATATGTATGAAAGAAAAGTAGGAACAACGAGTTAGACTGATCGGTTCTTGTTGCATTTTGCGATCTGTTCAGTTCGGGTTCTAAGTAATTTTCTTATTGTGAACAAGATTATTCTCATATGAACGAAGATTGCAGAAAAATTGATAAGATAGCAACTAACATACAATTCTTTAACCACGATATTTATCAAAGACAAATTTAAAGTGAAACTCTATGATTATATATGACAACCGAACTTGACGTTGGGACACAGAAAAATGGTAAACTAAAAGTGACAACGACCAGTCAGAAAATAGCAAAAGTCACGTGAATAAACGAAGCAAAACAAATGTACTGTGAAAGAGATATTACTACAAGAGAGAACACTTATTCAGAAAAACTAAGAAGCTTGTGATTTTCGTAGCAATATTAAGGGTTTATAAAACTTACTCGGTCAAACTACTCTTTCTAATATCTGTTAATGATCATAAAGACTAAAGTTTGAAATGTAAACTATCAAACGACAGCGCAGTGATTGAAAAGATAACGCAATCTTTATGAAACTGATGGTCATCGGCTTTAACCCATGTGAAGTTGTAGTTTTGTTCGAATGAGACTTTCCGTGTACTAAGACACAAATTCTGTTTAGTACTTGCTAATTTCTTAAGGTTATTTACTCTTAAATATGTGTTTAGAAATGATAACTATCTTCAAAGGTGTACAGTCATCACAAGCCTTTCATCCCAATTATTTGACATTACTTAATCAACAATATTTCAATCAAAAATAAATCCTATTGTAGTTTAATGGACTACGAAAATCCTAGATATCTAAAGTTATTTTATCTTTTGCATCATGGTATAGACAAATGATTACACAAGTCTAATTAACAGCTGGTGATATCAGGTTAAAGTATGTGTAATATAATGAGGCCAAAATAACAATGATGATGAAAAAGTGGTACCTGGACGATAATCATGAACAGAAAGTAAATTAATTGGCATTGCTTAAAAAGTCCATTGGGATTCTTAAATAAATATAACTAAACCTTAAGGAGTATCTTATTCAAACACACACACAAAGTTATAAATTAATTAAATGTTTCACCTCAGTTACAAAGTTTTTTTCTCACTAAGTAAAATATTTCTTTGTTAAAGAAACAGGTTTCAAACACAGTGATAACAAGATCAAACAACGAAATTGAATAGGTGTCAATTTGTAATATAATTCAAGTTTCAATGAACTTATTACAAACAAGAAATACATTCACGTTTCTATAGGGTCACTAAAATAAAATCTAAGAATTGAAAAATAATAACAATGTTACTTAGACTATAGGTAAACTGGAAAAAGGCAGTAAAAGAGTAAGTCTAAGGAACTAAGGAAAAATTGGAATCTAAGGACCAATGTTTGTTGAGAAGTAATATGTAAAGGAAATTGGCATTTGTTTGAGTAAAATATAAAAAGTAACATATACTGTTACAAAAGGATGAAACGAATTCATGCTACCAATCTTAATAGCATTAAAAGATAGTTCCCAAATTTCGCGGATTGACTGAAGATGAAATGTTACCCACTGTTTGTTGATTCAGTGGCCTGAAAGTTAAACATACACCTTGAAAGTTCAATGTCCTGAATTTGATTTCAGGAGGGTCCGTAAACAAAGACTGCTGAGGAGACTAGTGATAGGAAAAAACACCTGTCTAACGTTTCCTGGTTTTTAATGTTCTAACTAAGGTACGTTTGTGATATTAACTATAAAATTCAATAATCTTCATAAATCCATTACACTAATATTATCAATAGCATTAACTGTGTACAAAATTCATGTACTCAGCCTTGAGTTATACCACTTCTTATGATATTATTCAACTGTTTAAATGGAGGTGAGTCGGGCATTATTGAAACTTGTAAACTATTGCTGGTTCTGAATCAAGTGCTTAAGCTACCATTATTATAGTGGCTGTAACTACTATCTCTATCATAATTAATAAAAATTTCCCAATGACCGTTTTAGTAGGCTACACCATGTCCAATTCCTTTTGTTTATTATGTACGATGATGAAAAATACCAATAAACTGCATTAATTCATAAATGCTACATAAGAAATCACAATTGAAAAAACAGTATCATGTTTTTAAAACATTAATCCCATTATGAAAGAAATGGAGTGTAGGAAATAAAACGAAATCACTTATCTTCCATGAAGTGTAATTTCTTTCATAAAAATGTTTACTATAGGATGATATTTTTATCTACATGAATATCATGCTGCTCCCTAGTAGATTTTATCATAAGAGGGAACTTATTATGTTGTTCAAATGTTTTATTTGTTTGTTTCAGTGATATTTTTGTAGTTGCGATGATAGTTTGTTTCATAAACTGATACTGGTCGAAGTATCAAAGAGAACATTTGAAGATATTAACACTGAATTGTTATAAAAGACTAAGTTTAAAGAGGGATTTCCTCAATATTCTAATGTGAAATTTTAATCATTTGAGTCGGTCACGAGATTTGAGTCAGACAATCTCCTTGCCATTAATACCAGATGACGAACCGCTTCTATTTAAAAGGATTAGGCTATTGCACAAATATCGACAACTGAATAGTAACTCCTCAAAGGATCAACATTATAGTGATCATCACGAGACTTCAATGTTCTAGGCTCAATACAGTGTGATTATAGAATGCGCACTCACAGTCGATAAATCATTCATATAAACCAAACAGTTACCCTATATTGACTGGTGTCAGTAGCTCTAAAACTGAAATCAGATCGTAACAAAAACTATTCGAAAATCTGTCGCTTTTTAAAATTCATGAAACTGGGAGCATTCAGATTAAATGAATTTAATTATCTGAAATAAAATGTCGCTGTAAGAAATAGTATATATTGGTAATTCACCTACGAAATATGGAATAATATCACATTGCATTCAAATACATCGATGTGCACTCTTTAAATTGTTTATTATCGAAATGGACTCATTATAACTTACCACGTAATTAAATTAGTCAGCAGTTAATACTACACTTACATTGTAAAACATGGTTTTAAGAAAA